TTTAATGTATTTTTCCTTCGCGAAGGAGAACTAAATAATTGAAGCAATATTGAATCGTCTGTGAAAAACTGTTTTTTTTTTGTTTTCTTTGCTTAATTTCTCTTGGTACATCGTTTTAGATTTTTAGTATTTGAACATGATAAATTATTCTAAGATGATGTAAAATTGTGTATTTGTTAAAAATGAATAAATGTATCGCTGTTAGTGAACCTGGCTAAGTGTCGCTATGATAGAAATATAGAATTTTAAAGATCTTTATTCTATTGTGGTTTTGCGCTATCGACGAAGTAGATTTGATTAAATCCTAAGTAAATGAATGCAAAAAAAATGTATATATTTATATTTCATACAAAAGTCATGTGATGCAACATCAGATTTTTTTTTAATATTCCGTAAGAGTAATTTTATCTTCGCCGTGTTTCGCTACTTACTTAACTTCATTTAAATGAATTGTCTAAAATTGAGAAGTTAATTTGATGTTATTTTCACAATGTTTTTATGCAAACAGAGCGTTGACAGTTTGGGTGATGTCCCAGCTTAAAAAACATATATATAATATAATTTTTACATAATTCTCTTGAAAGAAGTTTTAAGTAGTATTTTCTCTCTGTTGTAGATTATATAAAAAATGCTTTTCATAGAGAAATTATTAGGCTTAAAAACCTAATATGTATTTAGATTGTTTGCAGCCGATATAAAATCGGGAAACTCAGTGGTACAGGGTAAGCGCTGCTAGAATAATTTATTTCTTTTTCATTTAACAAAAATCTTTTAATTCAAATATTTATCCTTTGGCTTTGCTTTAAACTTTATTTATAGTTAAAATATCTAGAAAATGAAAATCTATCTTCAGTTGAAACGCATTTGATGTAAGGGATAATTTAAAAAAAATTGACAAGAATGCAAAATTTATGGAAGTGTAACTATCGAAAAATCTTAATTTTGTGCCAGCACTGAAAACAAATGTAGAAGTAAAGAAGGAAATTGGGGCGGAAGGAAAAATTTAAAGGGGAATCTACTTCAAGGAATTTGGGTGTTCCAATAGAAAACACTTGGACGTGCACACCAGCAAATAGTAGTAATTGAGTTAGTACAGGAACCATACCCCGTTAAGCTTGTAGCCCAGAAACATTCTTTATTGAAATTTCAGAAAGTAAGAATTTCAGAAATTCGTAAAACAACTGAAGATGTTTTGGTGCTTTTTACGAGATGATCAATATTGATTAAGGTCTTCATAGATTCGTTGTTCTTGGATATATGAAACACTGTTTTTACCAAATCTATTTAGACGTAAAATAAGTGCGATGTCCTGTTGATGGTTTTATTCTTCGATAATCAAGTTGAATTTATTAATATTTCACTTCTTTTACACAAAATATTTGTTGTCCTTTTTAATGGACAAATAAGATCAAAGAGTAAACCTGAGATGTAATATTATTTTCATTTACTTAACAATACTCAATATCAACAAAATGAGGAAGTAGAATACAAGATTAATAATAGAAAATTATGCCTCTTTCTAAACATATTGCCTTAAATTAAATAATTTCAACCTTCAACATCAATCTTTTTTCATCTGTTTATTACTATAAAGCAAATAATGCAAGAAAAAGTGTAGAATGTCATGAATATATAAAGATTTAATTAAGAAAAATATATGATTGTGAAGGAAGCAGTACATGGAATTCAGAAGAATAAGAAAAATTAGATAACTTACAGATTAATATTTAATTTTACCTGTATTAATTTTTTCGCAGTTCTTGCCCATGTATTTCGGTGGACATACGCATTTGTAAGAATTTGGAATGTCCGTGCAATTGCCTCCATTTTTGCATGGATCCGGAGTACAAGGACCTGAAGAATTAGCGTACTCAAATCAATATTAATAAAACATTAGCCATAGTAATAAACGTAAGATATATTGGCTATGATTATTCCTATCATTTTTTAATTAATTAGTGGATTATTAAAATAATATATGATATAGGTATGCGCAACCACCCACAATATATGGTATATATATACATAAGAAAATAAAGAAAACTATGTACAAGATTAAATTAGCAACATAAATTAATTTCTCCTCTGTATTCTAAAAAATATGTAAAAAAAATAAAGATTATGCAAAAGATTAAATTAGCAGGGTAAATTAATTTTCCTTCTCTATTCTAAAAGTAGTAATCTCTCTATACTGCGTCACTTCGAGATTAATCCCTGTCATATGACTCTTACATAATTCTGATGATGTAAATGGAACTAAAACTCAAACAGCCAATAGTAATTTTACAGCAGTATTAATTATCCAATCAAAGAGCATCGAGAACCAAAGCTCACTCAGTCTGAATTAAGAATTCAGCCTGAACAAAACGCACTTGCTTTCTAAGCTTTAGCCTAGCTGGACTGCAGTCTGTCTGCTCTTTCTATCCCTACTGTAAATTTACCTAGGATGTAAACTTTTTGGAATAGGCACAATTATTTTGCCAAGTTGTTTGTGGCCGCAATATGTTTACTGAAAATAAAATAAAGGTTTAATGTGTCTCGGCTGTCAGTCTCTTATTCATTATGGATCAACATTTCTGCGCCATATAAAAGATCTGCTGTTTGTTACTTCTAAGCTTATTAGTTTTTTTATTACATGTCTGTCTTCGAGTGTCATCTTTCTAACTGAGCAGTAAAGCCTCTTCAAGCTATAATGCAGAGAACCATCGTCAATCCGTTGCAACTTTCTTTCACAAAGACAGTATTATTACAAATATACATACATATATATATATGTGTGTGTAATAATACTGTCCCTTGGACTCCTTTGCTCTCTCTCTCTCTCTCTCTTATATATATATATGGTACATATATATATAAAGAGGATAAAAATTCGAATAAAACGTTTTTTAAAACCCATCCTGAGCTATAACTGCAGGATTAAAGTATAATAAACTTAAAGCATCTAAACTATTTAGTAAATTGGAATATAAAAGTAAAGCCATTCCTCTATAATATTGTTGCGTTTTTCTCTTTTCTTCTGACACCAGTTGTTACGTTATTTTCTTCTTCACCTTCGTACGGAGTTCGTAGATTTGTAGTGAATAACGACGACACTTGATGAAGTATCGAAACACACTTTATTTAGGCAATATTCATCAGGACAGCTCCAATAACACTTTTTACAGTCGTCGAAAATCTACTATAAACACGCTGGAACAATCAGCGACACAGCCTTCACACTGTCAGGCAATAACTGTGGGGATAGCTTCACTGTAAAGCACCCGACTCTGCTTTCCGGAGTACAGCTCCCTACTCTGTTTGGTCGTTCTCGGAACTCCACGTACTCTCGAGACTCTCCACGCTACAACTCGCGATGCACTCGACGACACACGAGCACAGCTCCCGACTCCTTGGTTCAGCCGTTCCCGGAAACATGCGCTCTCGACGCCTAACAACACTAAGAGACCCTTCGGTGAACTCGACGACCCTTCCGCACTCGTTGCCCGGCTGTCAACTCGATCGACTCTGCAGGGATTGACTCACTAGACGACACACACTCTCAATACTAACTGCACTCTATGCGAGGCACACACACACTAACTGACTGCGGACCAGCATGGTTTATATAGCTTTCGGCTTGTGTTTGGGAACATTCTGGGCTAAACCGGTAAGAATTCGTTCCAGAAGGTTCTCCAACCGTCCATGGTATATCGCCAATTTTGTCGCCAAATGGGGGATTTCTCGCCAAATGTGGCAACCCTGCCTTCCTTTGCCATTTTATGGCAATCCTAAAACCGCTTTGCGGGAAAGCTATCGTACCGCGTTTGTACATTTCGTAACCATATTATATTCCTGTAAAATAGTGCGGCCAATTTTAATTGGCACGTGGGCTGCCGACGGTCTAAGATCGACACTGGAATCAGAAGTGTTAAAAGTTCTGCTATATAGTTCCTTTCGATTTCATGGATTGTGCTTAATATGGCTTTTTTATTATCAACGGATCTGGATGGGATTCTTTTCCATTTTATGGCAACCCTAAAACTGCTTTGCGGGAAAGCCATCTCACCACGCCTTGACATTTCGTAACAATATGATAATTGCAACTATGTATAAGAGTTATAACAAAATATCAAAACTAATAGAATTAAAGAGGGAATTCATAGTAGAGCAATCTCGACAAATAAAACTACTATAGAGAAAATATACAAAATTATACAAATAAAATTTAATCTCCTTTTATTGAAACTCCAATTCAGAACTCATCAGGAGAAAATGAATTAAAGCTTCATAAAAAGTCAATTAATATGTTTCATTCTCCTGGTCCATTTGAGATCAGAAACCGTAACTCGTTTTCATCAAATTTTTATTAAAAACTTTAAAATTCATATAAAAACCAAACCTGGAATCTCAAATGTACCAGAATTTTCCCTACACATTTTCGAAACACTTGAAATATTTTTTCATAATTAGAAATGGCAGAAGAATGTAATGACAGAAACAATTTTGGAGGCACTAAAATAAGAACACTGAAGCGTAGATGCGTAGAAAAGCTGATGGCGTAGATACTTGATGCTTAGAGCGTCCACCCATTTTAAAGAATAAGCAGTCGAGCCGGATTAAATTCCTATTTATTTAAATTAACATTTTGTGGCCACAATCACTTGGCAGTCTACTGGTGCCTATTAAATAGCATTTACAGTTTTGATATTATTGCAATAGAAGCAAATATTTCAGCACATACATGATTGCAGAAAAAGGTCCGGCCAAGTGCAAAGCACAAGCAAAAGTAACGCATCAGTTCATAGAAAGAAGGGTTGGACTCGAAAGTTTCAGTTTTTAGTTTTGGTTTACAATTTGGTGATTGGTCAAGAGGCATCTGCATTCAGGGTTATGTAAGATCGCATGATTAACTTGAATGACGCAGTTTAGACTTATCGCGCTATTTCTAAGACAGAAAGAGGAAATCCCCAAATTAAATAAAACTAAAACAGGTTATAGACAATTACATTTAGGAGTTTGCTTTTTATATTTTTTATCTCATACATTGCTCTCCCGGCCTCTCGTTTTGAGGGGGGGGAAGATATAAAATATAAAAAATACGATGGCTTTTGCTCTACGCGATCAGGCAACCTCTAATTAACTTTCCGCAATTTCAGGATCTTCCCCCCTAGACCAGTACTTTACGTAACCGCTGCTATAAATGAAGATTTCGCCCCTATTGGATATTAGGTTTTGGATAATCTGAAAGAACAATGATCTGCCATTTTAAGTGAATAATGCTATGGAGTTTTAAAATTTCAAATTTTCTGTGTCTTAGTTCGAATATTTTTTTTTTTTTGCGTAGTCGGAGTTGGCAGAGTGGCGAGACGAGACGAAGATGACGAAACTAGACTTCCATAAATCACCAATCTTTATTTTCGAGCATAAGCAAATCGTTTCTTAGTAGATGAGATATTTCTAGATAATAAGCAATTGCAATGTTTTTATATGTACGTTATATAATCTTAGAATACGAGCAAAGGTGGACATGGCAGCATAGAGATGTTTACAAGCTAGAGAAAGGAATGGAATGACGTAATTAATTTACAACCGGTATGTATATCGACGTATGAGCGCACGAGAGATATAGGGTCTTCGAAGTAGCGCAAAATTCGAACTTTCGCGGAGGAACATTTCTCGAGTGTACAGTGAATTTCGGGAATCCAGTAAAACATCAAATATCCGACAAAGCTGCGGTCGGAAAAAGGAAGGACGGGACCAACGATGATTAATTAAAAATGACAAACTTGAAATCCTTCCTCAAATTGCTGCATATTTCAATGCTGAGGTATCAACAAGTAGCAGCGTGAGAACTGTTCAAAGGACCATCATTGATACAGGAAACCACAGAATAAGCAGTTGTTCCTTCTGAAAGATTTTCAGCTTTTTCTTCTCATTTAGCTGCTTTTATTATAAAAAATTCTTTCGAAGTCGAAGGCCCACTCCTGTTCCGTTATTGACTGGACGACACAAAGCTTTACTCCTCGCCTGGATCCGAAAAAACCGTCATTATACTGTTGATGACTGAGAACAAGGTTGTCTGGCCAAAGAATCTCTAATTCTTTGGCAAGGTTGTCTGGTTGTTGGGAACAAGGTTGTCTGGGATTCTTTGGTCTGGCCTGACGAGTCTCGTTTCGAATTGTATCAGGTGGATGGAGGTGTACGGGTATGGAAACAATCTCATGACTACATGGACTCTATATGTCAACGGGAAGTATTACAGCTGACGGAGGCACTGTCATGATATATGCCGTGTGCGGTTGGCGTAATGTAGGATCTCTGATATGTATAGATAAGACCCTCTCAGCTTATAGATACGTAAGCATCCTGTCCGATCACCTGCAGCCATTCATGGCCATCGTGCATTCCGACGGATTTGGACATTTCTAACAGGACAATGCGACATCCTACACGTCGACAGTTTCTACTGAGTGGTTTCTACCAGGTGACTACCGATCTGACTTTAAGCACGTTCATTGGTCACCTAGATTTCCAGACATAAATAGTATTAAACATATCTCGTATACCTATATATAGAATAAAACAAAAGGTTTAAAATTTATATTGACTTACGGAAACGTAATTTTTTATCTAAAAAATTTTTAAAATATGCAAGTTATCACTGAGCTGCTCACGTACTTGATATTTAAACACAAATTTTATTATCGAATTTGTAGTGTTAAATTTGATATCTAAAGCAAAAACAGTTTCTACTTATTTCCAATTTTCCTCTCGAGAAATCTTCATCCACACGCCTCACTTTTATCTGCACAAATGGCTCATTTGCTAGTTGGCTTATTATGATACGCAGGGGCAAATAAACATATACCTTAAGTATCGGCATTTCTAAATAAAGGCTGTATATGGAATTTGACACCAAGCTTTAAATTAAAAAAATACCAATTTTGTTTAAAATCCTTTTGATTTAAAATACTTGATCCTTTTTGCAGTAAACTTCATTTAAATCCTCATATTATAAATTTCAAACTATTTTAATGTAAATTTTTAAAATACCAGTTTTAGTTTCAATCGCCCACTTTGACTGCTTGACTGCTCACTGAGGAGCACAAGGGCGATACCACCGAATTTGAGAAACACTGTTCTACATATTCGTACAAAAGTTGATCAAATTAGATCATCCTTGGTAAAACTCTAAAAATAAAAATTAAAATGTTATCCAGTCAAAATTGATTTTCCCTTTTGCTCGTCTAAAATGTTTCGCCACTTAAGCGATCCACTAGGCAACGTACAGGCAGAATGCTGTTGGAAAGAGGACGAAAAAGTAACAATGGTTCGCGATTCATACTGTTCTTAATTTTTTTTACTCTAAAAACGATGATTCAATGCATTGCTATATTTTCAGGAAATTAGAAAGTATAAGGAAATAAGAAAACAAAGAAATTCCCAAAACTAATTGTCTTACTGAAATGAAAGAAATCTTTCACTGATTGCCTTCTGGATAACACATTTTTGCTAAATTATTTTAATGGTTCATCATAAAGGGCAGATATATCATTCAGTGACTTGACATATATTAAATATCATGCAGTAATTTAGTGAAAAAAATAAAACTTATCATACCCTTGCAAATATCCTTCTCGGCTTTATATCCTTTTTTACAAATGCAGGTTTTTGTAGTTGTCCAGAGTCCGGAAAATGTGCAGTTTGAGCCTTTCCCGCATTCACATGCTGTAAATTAATGAAACGGATTATATGCATTTTAAAATTTATGAATGTATCATAATACTTTATAATATTAAGCATAATACTCGTATAATGCAAATTATTAACTTGATATAGTTTTAATAACGAGAATGTTTATCATATAAGTAATTTAAACGCTATTTGTACATAAAAGTTTTATGATTCTTTAATATATGGTATTTCGCACAGTTAAAAATAATATGTATAGAAATAATTTAAAAAGATGTCATTTAATGACATGCATATATATCATTTTAAAATTAAAAATAAAAACATTTTAATACATTTAAAGAAAAAGCAACTAGACTCTGAAATATTTCCTTTCACTATTCGGAAAATATAATTGGCGTTATATGTGTGCAGTGTGTTCCGCTGCGTTGAATTATATTCGCGATCCGCTGCATATAATTCAACCCAAATAATTATACTTTATATTTTGCGACTTGCTGTGAAATTTTTCATTAACTTAATTTTATTTTAAATATTTCACACTTGAACAATATTGTTACTATTCTAACAATGGATCTTTTCTTATTTATCAAGTTTTCTTTCTAAAATGTTGTGCAATTTCCCATGTTTCACAAGTACCACAAAAGTGTGATCTCTTTATATGTCGAATTCCCTAAATATGTATGTATTAAAAATTGTTAAAGAAACTACGTCCTAAAGAATTAAATTATATATTTTTTCACTTTTTAAAATACAGAAGATGTATAGCGTTTCTGTGTTAATAATAGTATCCTGTAAAATGTTTCGCTATTCCACCTGGCCCTCTCTGTTGATAATCTCTGCTGATAAACCATACTTAACTCTAAAATAACTCTTTTGGGCGAATGTTAATGTCTGAAACTTTTTCAAATTTTAACTTTTATCTATTTTAATATTATTTAAATATTAATTTATTCTAGCATAAATATGTTTTACTAAGTTCATTTTAGAAAATAATGCTTAATTATTTTAAGCACAATGTATTGGCAATTGTTGAAACAAAAACAATGACCATTTCAAAATTCAGAACTTTATCTAATAACAAATAATATTTTATATAAATTTATAGCTTAACCAATATGAATATTTTATGTACATTAGCATTGTAATAACGAATGTTAATTTATATAAATTTAAAAATATACAAATGTCAATCCAAAATTAGTGGCTACACTACATCACAAACTGTTTGCAATTTATGCTACTTTGGCTGGCTGAAACAAAATAGATCTTTGTTCTGGGTGAATAATAATTTCACTGGCTTTAAAGATTCTTCATTTTTACCTTTTCTCATGAAAGTTAAATATTATATCTTTACTTTCCTTTTATAATTTGATTTTTACCTACTTTTTTAAACTAGATAACATGTAGAATAACAATGAGTGATGATAAACTATCCTTCAGATTTCTAATAGCAAAATATATTGCAAAAGGTAATAATATTATACACATACCTTTGCAAATGGTAGATGTATAGTATCCAAATTCTGGTGGGCATTCACAGACTTCTTTTCCTTTCTCATTTACAACGCATTTTCCATTCTTACAGGAACAACCTGTGGAAAAAAAATGTTGAGTATGAAACAGATAATGCTTATGCTATTTTATTGTATCAATATGTCACACATTTGAAGCAGTGTATACTAAGGAGAAGATGTTTTCATAAAGAATTCAATTTTCATTTATCAGCATTTTTTGCTACTTACGAGTTCAGTTTCAGTTTAGATTAAAAGCTTCATTTTGTGAACTAAAAATTTGTAGAAAGAATGCCTATGCTCTCTGTTACCTCATAATTAAAAGTTCTTCTCCCAAAAAGTTACGGTAAAACTCTAAACAGATTGACTCCGTAATAGCAGTCCATTCAGATTTTAGAAAAATCTCCATAATTAGACTGACTTTTTTCTTTCTGATCGTAATTTAACAGTTTTCGTTACATTATGCAAAAAATTAAATATTAATGAATTTTAAAGTTTTCCTAAATTGTATTTGATAAATTTATCAATTTGTAATTAAATAGGTACCTAATTCCCACTCTTTCTTTCAATGAAAAAAAACTGTCACATATGTGTTACACATAGTAGTGATTGTCTCGTTTAAGAATTACCCTTTTAAAATAATGGTTTTCTTCAACGACTCCCTTAAATTTTTCTCTCTACCTTTTCCTCTCCATTCCCATTACATTTTCTTCCTTTCTCAGCAAGCAGCAAAATCACAACACAAATAGTTTAAAGATAACAATTAAGACTAAGAATATTAACAGAGATTGTTGTAAAAATGGTTTATTTGATTTTTACTTCATGATATTTGTATTATTATAGTTTTTAACTTTGCAAATATAGACTATAGACTATTCGGAAACAAAATTGCTGGTTCTAGTTGCACAAAACTTCGAATTTTATTAATGGGATAGCTTAATTTGATATACTGATGAACTCATATAAATGTTTGGTATAAAAACGTATAATTCTTAAATCGGCTATTTCAAAATATTCAGTCTATTTCTTGTTTTCCGTAGTAAATTCTTGACTTCACTAAAGCCGGCTTTCATTAGGTAAGATGAGATAACAGTGAATAATGTTGGTTCAGTAAAGACTTATGTTTTGTAATATATCTCTCGCATAAATTATAAATCCCAAAACTTAGCTTGCTTCACGATTCAGTTTCAGGTATATCGCATTTCAGCCGTTTCACGAGCCAAGGTAGCATACTAGCATACATAAATTTTAAAATCTTTGAAAGCAAACATTAATATTTTTTAAAAAATTTTGTTTGTGTATCAGTACAAAAATATTGTATCAGTCTATCTTCTGAGGAAACGCAGTCCTTTCCCAATAACGAACAACTGCAGTAAGTAATCAAAGTAATGAAATTCTTTTCGATTTAGAATCCAAATAAAGAAGTCAGTTTCAGAATAAGAACCGAAGATAATCGATCCATTTCCAATAATATTGATATCACATCCTTGCAGTTTGTTTCCTGAGGCGTTGAAGAATGAATATGTTTCAGTCAAGTATAAGTCATTAGGATTTTATTAGTTGTGTCGACATGGGGTTGTGAACTACAAGCAAAAATTTCTTTACAGTATTAAGAATGTCAGTGTTACAAAATGTGTTCCCACGTTTTGCGATTTTGCACTTATTTCTTAAAAAAAATTGTATATTAAAAATGCTATTGATATTTAAAATGTATTAAATAATTTTTTTGTACTTTTTATATTATTTTACATGTTTTCTTTATTACCACGTGATGTAGGTTTATGTGAATCAATCATTTTATATGACAAAATCATTAATCAAACCCAGATAATGCGCGTAAATTTTGATGTCTGCAGAATTAGATGTCTGGAATAATGAAATCGATTTTCTGAAATCCATAAAAGTATTTAAAGGGATTATTTTCGTTATTTTCACTTATATAGTAGAAGGAACATAGAAAATCCCTTGAGACATAAAGAAACATAGAGAAACCTTTTAAATTTAAGCGGATAAGCAAATTCAACTGCGAATTCTTCCAGTTACATTTTAAATTTAAAATCAATGCTTCATTTATATAGAAGAAATATTTAACTCTAATCACTTGGGGGTTGAGTAAAAGAATTTGAATATTCTATAGGAGATTGGTTTTTATTTCTTTCGGTTAGGTACTTCATGCTCAAAAATCGCAGTTAAGAGATGAAGGATTTTGCAAAGAACTATCGTTATGTATTTCCCCCTCCCCGGAGTATATTGCTATACTTTTATAAATATTTCTCCCGCCTTCTGCGTGTTGGAATGGTCAGCAAACTTGGCGCATATTCCAGAGGTCCTTCGTTCGAGTCCCGGCAATGAAATTGATTATTTCTCATCTCCCCTGTTTTGAAATAACTTAATGCCTCTACAGTGGCGTCCGAACTAATAAGGGTGGTAGATGATGATTCTCCACCACCAGGATTTGGGCTGTTGGGTCCTCTAATCCCGGGTCATCCTTTAAAAGGGGAGCATATAAGGTATTTCTCCCGCCTTCCTAGCATGCCTTTGTGGTGTAATGGTCAACACTCTCGCTGAATATTGAGAGGTTCCATGATAGAGTCCCTGTGAGAGCAATGCACATTTTTTATGTCTCCTGCTTCGAAATAACCTAATGTGTCAACACTTTCAGCAATTTTTCTAGTTTCTTGTAGTCACCAAGAGCAAACATATTCAACACAAATATAATTCGGATTAGCTAAGGTAATCCTGCCAGTCCTGTACTTGCTGACATTATCTGTTAAGTGCTATTAACAAATAAAGGATTTTTCAAAAAACTCTCATTATACACTATCCGACATTGAAAATACAACACTACGAAAGAAACAATTAATGCAAAATGCAAATTATGAAAAAAAAATTTATGCACCTCGAGAATTGCACCCCGGGGTGTTTACGCACCCCGAAAATTAGGCGAATATCAGGGTAGTTGCCTTGTTATGCAACGTCACGAGTTATGCGAATGATGTGAAATGCGCAGCTCTAAAGCGCACGTTGAAGAAGGAACCTGCAAAATGTTCAATTTTCGTGCCGTTATTTCTGCTAGAGAAATCATCATAGAAAATTTTTTCTTCTCTCAGAGGACGCGTGTAATAGCAGAGAATGCTAGGCCGTCATCAACGGAGGCAGTTTTAGCAGACAGACGATTTTACGAGGGGCATGGTGATCGGACTGAGAAAGGCAAGTTGGTTCATACTAATAATCATAGCTGACAAACACCTAGACGCGTCCATAGTGCACCAGCTTTAGCGACAATGTTTAAAAAACGGAAATGTGGCAAGTTCGAGGGCTACCGGTGCAGCGAGAATGACGTCACCACGCGTTGACCACCGACAAGCGGGAGCGCACTCGGAAGCCACTTCTACCTCCATTCTGCAGCATGTTCAAGACATCATAGATATTCCCATATCGACACAACCATTTGCTGTTGATTGGTGGCTAATGGTCTGCACTCGTGGCGTCCGTTAAGAAGACTGCCACTGACCCACAGCATAGGCGCCAACGTCGACAATGGTGCCAGGCTCGATGACGGACGTCGTAATGGTGATGTGGACGTCCGGAATGGCACAAGGTTACAATTAGAATGACAAAATTAATAACGGTTATTCAGAAAATAAAATTGAGAAAAATGGTTCGCTAATTAAAAATATAGAAACATTAATAAGAGAGAATTTCGTTGTCGGCCAGAACGATGGGTTTATTTATTTATTTATTTTTTTTTTTATTTATTTATTTTTTGAAAACGATCCTTTATAACAAAAAAGCGAACCCTATAAATTAAATTTTTTTTGTCGAAAAGATGGTTGGCAGTTATATTAACCATCTACAACAAAGGGCTAAATGGCAGTTTTCTTGGTGCTCTTACATTGTTTGAGGAAGATAATTTACCTCCCTGCAAATGGCCTCTCTTGTCGAATAGAAGAAATAATAACTGGTTCTGATACGAAATTTTGTGTGATAGTCATAAGAATGCCAGCTGTTGCTTTAAAACAGAGTTTCTTCAACTGTGGGTCGCGACCCCCAGGGGGTCACGGGAGCTGCAGCAGAGTGTCGCCAAAAATTTAGCAGTTTTGATATTTCTTATTATAATAATTTTACAATTACCAAATATTTTTACTTAATGTATCTGGGAATATATAAAGATAAGGCAATACAGACAAAGAAAAAGGGAAAACGTTTCGACGCGTTCTTTTTATAACAGAAACGTTCATTTTGCTTGTTTTATACGTGACGCTGTCATTTCGTCAAAGGCCTTGTGTATCCAAGATCGAGAGTTTTGGTAACGCATGCGCGCTTTTCCATCATTGAATTCAACCGTCGCCTTCAGCCGTTTCGCCATTATGTCTGCTATGCGGATCGTTTTCATATGTTTGAGCATCCCTTCACTCAGAATATATATATATAAATACGGTGATATTTCCTGATAAAACAAGCGTTCTGTCGCTTTGCCATCGTTGTTTCGTTCGCTTTAAGTAGTATCAGCAAGTAAGTTATTCTGTTAACAAACCCCCCTTGTTTTCTCAACAATAATTATTTTAAAGTATTTTTTACGAATCATGGATAAGTGGTTGAGTTTAGAGGTAAGAAAACTGAAAACAATATGAGAAGTCATCTCCGGTACCTAGCTCGAGCGCAGTTAAAATATCGAAAAATAGAAAAAAATGACACATCATATTTGGAATTTGGGTTTACCTTCTTATAACTATGATGGAACTGAAAAACCATTATGCTTAATTTGTAACGAAGTTTTGACTACAGAAAGCATGAGACCCGCCAAATTAAGGCGACATTTCAATACAAAGTATACTGCGCACTGCAAGAAACACAAAGAATACTTTGAAAGGCTTTTGAAATCATCAAATCAGCAAAAATTTGGCAAAATCCTATTTAATTGCAAAAAATAAAAAGGCCTATTCATTTGGAGAAAAATTACCGAGTGCTATTAAGATGCCCAAAATAATTCATGGCAAAATCTGCATGGATGAAATCCGTAAAATTCCATTATCCAGCGATACTGTTTCAAAGCGAATTTAGGAAACTAATAAAGATCA